CGAAAGCCCTTCTCAAACACTGACAAGTTATACAATCTTGGGCAAGTTACATTACCTCTTGAGCCTTACTTTCTTCATCTCTAAAGTGGAGATGGGTTACCAGCTCTGAGTATAGGTATAAGAGTTTGAGAAAATTTAATTAAAGGACTTAGTCTGTTGTTATGTTTCAAAATATAACGGGTATAAGAAAAGTATCATTTTTTTTCATCTAGCAAATATATAACTTTATAGGGAGAAAAGCAATATCTCTGAACTTAATGACCATATGTCCTGAAAGGTTCAAAATTCCTCTTACCACACACTGAATTCTAGACAATGTTCATGTTTCTTTTTTTGACAATTATAAGTGACTCTTTCTTGAATAATCTTAATTCTGAAAATATTACTGCTAAGCTTTGGTTTCCTCTTGTGCATTGCAACAAAACACAAATAATTAAATTTAAATTTGCTCCCATATAAGGATAGTTATCCTTATGTTGCATTAATGCTTATGATATCAATAAAAAGCACAAACATAAAAACCGTCTATGACTTTTATTTTATGTTGCCAAAAGAAAATTCATATCCAATAGCAAATGAGCTTGTATTATGCTTTAAGAATATTTACAAAGAGATGAAGAAAAGTACGCTTCTTCTATCTCCTGTATTCAATTGAACTAGTAAATAGAAAAGCATATTTCTGAAGATCAAAAACAACTGATGGCAAAACTCATGCATTTTTCTCTCTGACCAACCTCGAAAGAAAAAAAAAAAAAAAAACGCATTTGAACTGTGAGCAATTCCTTTTAGAGGCTAGGACAACTGAAGATTTTCTGTTCAGTCTTCACCCTCCAAATCCCAGTCTAGAGTGGTGGGGCATCCTCTGTATTCTTCTGTCTCCCTAATGTTTTTATTATTTTTTTACCTTTAATGTAAAGTATTTTCTTGGCTGTCTGATCTTCCTTTATCTGGCCAGTTTTCACCTTTTCCTTCTCTATTTAGGAGAGACAAAAGTGCAGGCCCTTTGAGAAGACATCTGCATTCAAGCTGTGAGTAATCCCTTTCACGCAGCATGCTCACGCAACACAGTTTTCACTTTATGCTTTTTTTAAAAAAATTTTTTATTGTTTTTTTCTTTTATTGATTTCTTTTCCTTTTTCTTTTACCTTTATCACTTTGCTGCTCAGCCTCCACACACTGAGTGTCTAGACAGGTGTAGGTGCACAGTAGCCAAACATCTGAATATTATTAGAGTCAGAATAATCCTTAATTCCCACGGAATCTGCTGCACAAAGGCAAAAAAAACTGAACTGCAGAGAGACTGCAGATCACCTTCTCCTGCACGCCTCTGAATGCTTAACTGAACTTTAAGAAATTAGGTAGAAACATATAATCTATCAGATGACCAGAAACCACCAAAGAGGCACAAGAAATATGAGAAACCAAGAAAATATCTCTTCCCCAAGGGAAAAATACAATTTCTCATCATCCACAGGTAGTACAATGGTACCCATGGAAATGTCACATAAACAATTTAGAATATTGGGGCCGGCAGGTAGCGTAGTGGATAAAGGCACTGGATTCACGCATGGCCAACCATGGTTCTAATCCCAGATTTGGTGGCTTGCTCTCTCACTTTCCCTTTCTCTCTCTCTCTGTCTCTGTCTGGTCAAATTAAAAAATAATAGTGATAATAACAAAGGAATTAAACAAATAATTTTTTAAACAAAGAATTTAGAATATTCATAGTGACGAAGCTAACAGAAGATGCAAGAGAAGAGAGATAATGAACTCCAGAAGATGCAGGAGTAAAGAGACAATGAGTTCCAGGAGGTGAGGAAGTTCTTACATGATCTGAAAGAGGAAACGCATACTATAAAAAAAAAAAAGAATCAAATGAAACTATTAGAGATGAAGGCTATAATACAGGAAATTAAAACCTCCCTTAAGAGCATTAAAAGCAGATTAGATCATGAGGAAGATAAAATCTCAGATGTAGAAAACAGAATTTCTGGCTTAGAAAAATTCACCACAAAGACTGAGAAAATAACCAAAAAAATAAATAAATAAGTAAATGAGAATTATATACATGAAATACTAGACACCATTAAACATCCAAACATCTGGATAATTGGTATCTCAGAAAGTGAAGAAACTAATAATGGCATTGATAATCTATTCTATGAAATCCTGGAAGAAAACTTTCCAAACCTAGAGAGGCATTCAAATATTAAGACCCAAGAAATACAAAGGACCCCCAATAGAATCAACTCAAGTTCTTGAAGGCACATCATACCAAGATTGACCAAAACCACAGACAGAGACAAGATACTAAAACTGACAAGAGAGAAACATCAGGTTACTTATAAGAGATAATCCATCAGGCTAACAGTGGACCTCTTATTGAAAACAATGCAAGGAAGAAAGGAATGGGAAAATATATTCAAAGTGTTAAGTGAAAAACAACTTCAACTGAGAATACTATACCTGGCAAGATTGTCCTTTTTATTTATTTATTTATTTTTGGAGAGGTTTTTGCTGTAGGGCATGTGCGCTCACCAGACAGACAGAGAGAGACAGAGAGACAGAAAGCGAGAAATCAACCCCCACCGGGGATGGTCACACCACAATCCTTTTTCCTCTATTCTCCTCTCGGGATCTTGGGCACGCACGCACACACGCCCGGCGTGAGTTTTAAGCCACCGGGTCCGGGACGTGAACCGCGGTCGACTATGTGGGAGTCCAGCGACATAGCCATTACGCTAACTGCTGGTCCCAAGATTGTTCTTAATATGGGAAGAAAAGACAAGAACCTATCAGATAAACAAAACCTGAAAGAATTTACCAACATCAGACCAACTTTCCAAGAAGTTCTGAACAGAGTCCTATACCAGGAATACTGAAGACAGACACACAGAATTAAGAATTCAAAAAACCACCAAGAAAATAGGCAACTTAATGTTAGGGACAAGTCTGGAATTGAATATTAACTTCCAGAATTTAAATGGAAAGATTGGACCACAACAGAAGAGAGTTTAATTACATGAGACTGAACTGGTGAAATAGAATTTTATGACTTTTGATTAAAATATTACTGATTTTCTTCTCTGCCTTGTTTTCTAAACTTAAGGATTTTTGTCTTCTCTTAAGCCACTGATAAATTCATCTACCTACTCTTTGAACAGAATCCTAAACTTTTTTGTGGTTTTAAGTCTTAGCAAATTTCTCTTAATATTTTTTATTTTGATTTATTAAAGCTAAAACAGCTCTTCTTGAAATAGAAAAAGTACCTATTTAGTGACTGCAATAAGCTATATAGCCTCAGTCAGGTGCTACTTTACAGTATGTTCATTCTACTCATTGAGTTTTATGCCTAACATCAGATATGTGTTCACAGATATGAATATATCAGCTGAACTAGCTATCAAAAGTATTCAGATTAATTAAGATATTTAATGAATCAATAAAGTATGGGGAGGAAAGGGTATGGAATGCAACTGTAGATACCAAAGATGGTGTAGGAGGAGGGTGGGAAATGGCAGAGGATTAGAAGTAAGGAATCAAGGGAAAAAGGGGGGAAAAAAAGCAAAAATATATTGAAACAAGAAGTGGAAAATTATTTGTTGATGAAAACATGTATGTAATTTCCTTGATTAAGCCAATACATAGTGTATTATGGATGGGAAATCATATTTTGTATGTTGTGATGATGTACAGTGAATGAATGCAAAATAAATAAATCTAAAAAATAAGGGGGAACCAGCAGTTAGCGTAATGGCTATGTCGCTGGACTCCCACGTAGTCGACCGCGGTTCGCGTCTCGGACCCGGTGGCTTAAATCTCACGCCGGGCGCATGTGTGTGCGTGCCCAAGATCCCGAGAGGAGAATGGAGGAGAAGGGATTGTGGCGTGACCATCCCCCCTGGGGGGTGATTTCTCGCTTTCTGTCTCTCTGTCTCTGTCTGTCTGGCGAG